TTTTTTTTTTTTTTTTTTTTGAGTATTTCAGATTCAAAACAAACGTTACGACGTTAGAGGCTTACCGAGAGCCTGAAAGAAAACTTCTTTAGTCCGGTTCTCTGGTGAAACGCTATCGAAATGTTCTTCTATAAACTTTAAAGTTGGCAGTCTTGATTTCTGTTTTTGCTCTTTCGAAGTCTGAGAATCTGACGACGCAGTCCTGCAGAAATGCCTTAACAACGCCAGCGACCTACTATTCCGTTCAAATGACGCCAAACTTTTCATTTTCCTCACTTATGAACTATAGCTCTAAAATACCACACACTGTCATCTATTTGTTAAACAAAGATCTAGAAAAACTTTTCCAAAGAAATAAAATTTCATATACAATTATACAGGGCAGTTAACAGGAAAGGATTTGAAAGGAAATTAAGTGTTTTGTCAACTACAGTCACCTTTCTCCGACCAAGCAATGATAAACTGAAACAGATCTTGAGTAAGACGAAAACTTGCCTAAACCAAAAAAAAGGGCACATCATCTGCGGAGACCACCTCCGTTGAAAGAAATCAAAAGAGCTCAAGAAACCACCAGAAGTTCAGATCACGGCTGTCCGTTTGGCTACGGAATTCATATCTCAGTTTAAAAAACCTGGCAAAAGATCAAAATTATATATATTTAGCTGCAACTAATTAAAATTTCTTCTGCCACGAAAGTCAGCCAGCTGGTTGCCAAACTACTGCGATTTTGCATTTTGGGAGCGGAATTGTGAAGACTTGTTCGAATGCTGAAGTTTCCCGAGCGATGGAGAAGAACTTGAGGGTTCAGGTCGTGGATGTAAAAAGACTGGAGTTTTGATATGTTTTGGCTTTGAGGTCTTGACTTTTGCACGTAAAGCTTTGTTAGTTTCAAGTTAATATTGATTGTTAAAATTACTTATGCTACTGTCAATTGTCTCTTTTGTTGCGGGACGTAGCCGCGCTTTTCGAAATACTTTTCTTTTCGCGGAGTTAGGAGAAGACTGTGTTCCTGCAGTCGTATTGTTTTCTGCGCGCCGAAATATGTCTTTTTTGATCTATTAAGCAGCTGAAGGCGTGGCAGAACTTGCTCATATGATTCTAGGTGTCTGTTGTACTTTCTCGTAATGTTATTAGTTTTTTGTGTTTGGATGCAGTTAGAGGATACATATCCGATTAGGCTTGTGGCGTTGTTTCCAGTCTAGCTGTTGCTTACTATTGCCTTTTTAAAGCACTGAAGTTTGTTACTTGGTCGCATTAATTGAACTAAGCAGTTTTTTATAGGGGAAAGGTGCAGTTGGAGTAACTATGCCTACGAAGGCTA